TACTTCTGTTATACCCTGTCTTTGTCTTCAATGGTGACCCAAAGCAGCTTACATCATTCTCCTCTCCTCCATTTTATCCTCAAAACAACCCTGTGAAGGAAGTTAGGCTGAAACTGTGTGGCTGGTCCAAGGTCACCCAGCAAGCTTCCTTGGAAGAGTGGGAATTCAAACTTTGGTCTCCCAGATCCTAATCTGATACTCTACCACTACACCACACAAAAAACCATGGCGGTGCTTTCACACAAACTAAATAACACACTTTCAATCCACTTTCACTGCACTTTGCAACTGGATTTTACTGTGTGAAATGGCAAAATCCACTTGAAAACAGTTGCTGAAGTGGATTGAAACTCCATTATTTAGCATGTGTGAAAAGTTCTGCCAGTCATCTCTGTGGACCTACACAAGTACTAGATAACTCATGTTAAATGCCACCTCAAGGGTTACCACATTTATTCCCTGATACAGTACCTTTAGAGCAGGGGTGTCAAACATAAGGCCCGGGGGCTGGAACTGGCCTGTCCAGGGCTCTAATGTGGCCTGCCAGCAACTAGTGCAAGGGAGGGAACAGGAGACTGCTCAGGGAGGAGTGGACGGAGCTACTCCGATTCTGGCTTCAGCATGGCAGAACAACCTCATCTGCAGCTGTCAAGCAGCATGGGAGCATCTGCCCAGTGCTGCAGTGTTGGCTTTCTAGTCCGCCCTTATGGGTTTTCCTCTGTGCCCCCCTTCCCAGCCCATGGGGCCTTGCTATGAGGATACACCAACTCAGAGCTTACCAGCTGCTGTCCTTTATACAGTTTCTATCTCCAGTACCTGGCATCATGTTTTATGGTACACATGGCCTGGCCCGACAAAGTGACATTTATGTCAGATCTGGCCCTCATAACAAATGAGTTTTGACACCTCTGCTTTAGAGAAACAGCATAACACAAAGAAGCTCTTCTCAAAAAGAATACAGCTGCACCTGCTGAATGTAGTCCTGTTTTTAAAAAAGAATATATCGGGGGGGGGAAGGAGTGGCCTCCCCTAACTGCATTACCAAAGCCTTTTATTGATTTTGTCATGAGTCTTCTGACCCCAGTGACTTTGGCTTGTATGATCATAGTTTTGCCGTATAGTAGGAACACCATGGAACTGTTGGGGGGTGCTTGCTTGGTTTACAGGAATTCAGGGAGCTTCCAGAATAAGCAGTGATCCTTTAAGACTGCTTTCCTAAGCAATCTTTCCAGGAAATAAGTCCAATTGAACTCTGCTGGATTCACTTCTGAATAAATAAGCATAGGACTGGACTGTAGGAATCAACCTCGAGAAAAACAAAGAACATCTGTAAATGCAACAGTTGTCTAGAATAGGAATGTGTTGAGAGCTACAGCCGCTGCTGGAGCTCTCCATCCACATGCAGAATTCACTGATAAAGACAGGCCATATTCCCACCCACAATCATCATTCCAGGTTTTGTGTTTGGCATACATACACTGAAGTAAGAGAGGGATTTGCAACATCACCTGCTTAGCTGTAGCCAGCAGTACTAATGGGCTGTCCCCTTAGCAGAAGCCCACAACGATCAATTGCATATTTGCTCAGAATTAAGAGGAACACAGTATAGCTGACCCTGGTGAGCCAATTGGCTCTGAGAGTCAATAGCGCAGCTTGGTAACTGGACGGTCACTGCAGTAACATCATTCTTTGCTTATGATTTGGCTGCCATCTCTAAGCTAAGCAAACTTCATGTTCTCTCATCAGCAAACAACATTTTTGTCTGGTTGCGTCCCACTTTTCATGGCAGAGGAGATAGTAGTGTGGTGCCTAAGGGGCTGAAGCAAAATGTCTGTTAGGAAAACTCTCATACTGGGAGCCTAAATTCATATATCATGTGCAATTATGCTCATAAGTGGCTTGCTCTACTGGATTGATTGGTTTGTAAACAGAAAGTGGGTAACTGTAACTTAGGGACCTCTAAGTAAGAGCAGGCCAGGTACCCATTTATGAGTACATTAGAGAAGACAAGCGTTATGGAATGGAAAATTCTTCTTATTTGTGCAATGAACTCTTCCCTTAGTCTTTATATCTGTCTGCAGTTGGCTTATTAAATGAGCAATTAGAGAGAAAATTGGTTACATCAAGGATATTTCAAATGGCCTTGACCTTTCTCAAGGAGAACTGGCATTTGCAATTATTAAGGCCATTCAAGGATAAATATTTTTAACAAATATTAAGAAGTGTGTCACAACATGTAAGTCACCAAATCAAATGCAGCTCACAAGCCACATACGGTGACTGGCCAGTGGTTTGATTTCAAAGACTAGACTGTTGCCTGATGGGACTACAGAAATTGAGTTTGTCAAGCACCTGGCAGGCTATGAGACATGGCTACCGAGCTCTGTTTAGCTTGGGTAGTCTCTCGCCGCTGTCTGTTCTTACAGCCTGGCTCCTGCATCTCTAACAGCAGTTTGGCACTGCTACGTACAGGTACGGGGAAATGGGAAAAATCAAGCAGGCACAACTGTATTGCAACTTCACAAGTCTTAGGAAATAAAACTCCACCCAGTGCAGCATAGGAAGAGGGCCAATAAGAATAGATGCCAAACCTAGACCTACCAAGTTAAACATGGCCCACTACAGTTGCCAACTGCCTGGAGGAAAGCATCCTGTCCACTTAGCAGATCTTCAGCCCATATGGTTGCTAATTGCCTGGAGGGGGGGGAAACCCTTCAACAGAGGCATAATGTGGTTTTACTTACCTTTATGTCATGAAAAGCTTCAGCTGCCCATTTGCACACATTAATCCTATATCCTATATCAAAGGGACAGGACATGTTTTCCTCCAGGCTGTTGGTAGCCCTACTAGCCTGCATCAATACATATTCAGCTGCTGGGGACAGAGAAAGGATTCCAGCTGAGCTCTGAGCAGGAGCAGGAGAGAGAGCTGTGAGAGAGGTGAGTGGGTTTCTTTTACTTGCTTTCAGCTGAGAGAATTCAGCTAAGGATATTTTGTGGGAAAACTGTGTTCAGCTGTGTGTGGAAGCACTTAGAGTTCTTGCAGAGTCCTGGCTGATTGAGTGTGGGAGAGGAACGGGCACTGTTTGACTGGGATTGCCTGTAATTGAGAGGAAGTGGAAGGGGCATTGTTTTGCCTGTGATTGAGTGCCTGGGTGAATTTGAATTTGAATAGCTGCTGCCTGACCTCTGCTGGGGGAGGCCTCTATTTAAGGAAACACGCAGTGGAAAGCTAGTCACAGTGAGGCTGATAAAACGGAACACAGGCTATGGCAAATAAAATGCAAGTCTGAGGTCAGGCAGGCAAAAAGGGAATATGAGGAGCATATAGCAAAAAACGTAAAAACCAACAATAAAACTTTCTTCAAATACATTAGAAACAGGAAACCAGCCAGGGAGGCAGTGGGGCCCTTGGACGACCAAGGGGTAAAAGGAGTATTGAAGGATGATAGGGAAATGGCTGAGAAGCTAAATGCATTTTTTGCCTCCGTCTTCACTGTGGAAGATGAGAAGTGCTTGCCC